AATACAAAACAGAAACTGAAAATTATCTGGGACTTTGAAATCAGCCACCACTCAGGACTAGGTTAAGTTAAAGTCAAACTGTATCATGAATTCAAATAATTTAGGTACAAAAATAAAAAAAACGCAGATAAGAGGCACAGAACCATCAGCATAGAGGAGTTCTAGACAGACACTACAGGGATACGAGGATTGTAAAAACCCACACGCACTTCCAGTGGGTTGTATAAGCAGATGCATTAGTCCTTAAGAGGGAAACCATTAAAAAGTAGGGCAGCAGTTCCATCTGAGGGAAACAAGTTAGAACAATCCTTTTGGGGATACTTTCATTAAAAGGGGATGCCCCTTTTCATAGTCCAAGGCAAGACACACATTTCATTTAAAAGTTTATCTTACAATTCTGAATACTCTAGCTTTGTCAGTGGTAAGTAATTAAGACATATTAAAATGCAACAAATTGTCCCTATGAGTTAAGAAAATATTTTCTTTAAGATCCATAAGGTCAAGCTGTGCTTCCAGCAAAGAAAGTACCTTCTGTGTGTCTTTTGAAGCAGAAATGTACCCTTTCTGATGCTCCCAGGCTTTGAAAGATGAAACCCCCTGATAGACACATATTCCAAGACACTTATTTCTATTATCATAGAACCACCACCAGAAATTGTTTACCAAATGAAGTCATGAACTGAAAATTACTAATGGAAAGTGGCAATTTGGCCAGTTTTCTGTACTGCCCTGACCATGCTCACAAAATCTAGGGGCTGGCTAAAAAACGCCTTCCTTCAGACCTAAGCTAAGGATTGTTTCTAATATTCTGCACAGAGCTGTTACATAAACCCACTGATGGAGATGTCTTCTTGCATCCCAGAGCCAACCCACTCACTGGTTCCAGACACCCGGGCAGGTAAAGCCTCCATGAGCAGAGCTCTGGTCAGGGGGATGCAGGAACATTTTGTGCACGTGCACCCCTGAGCCACAGCTGCAGAGAGCTGGATCCAGGGGAGCTGTCACAGCCACACAGGCATCCCTGGGGAGCAGAAAGGACACAAGGGCAGCTGAGGGGACACCTCTGTGCTGCTGCTGGAGCAGGGGAACCACGCAGCACCAGGCTGCACAGCCTGCTGGCACACAGGTGCTCAGGGAGAGATCAAGATTTCACATCCCCATATCCCCAGCCTGCTTCTGATTAAATGCAGAAAAACTGGATAAAACACAAGTATTGCCCTGGGAGCTGGAATCAGCACCAGGTGCCTGCACCTCTTGCATCTGATATCACTGGGTTTTGCACAAATCCAGCTTATAATGGTCTACTAGCCTCAACATTTGAGTAGCAACTAGAAAATGCAAAAAAATCTAACTCAGGGTGAGATAATTAATTTCTCCACCACCAGAAGTAGTTTCCTTCATTTTCATTTGAGAAAATTATTTTATTCTGGGCAAGTTTATCTAAGCAGCAGGCTAGAACTATGGTTAACTCTAGCAACATATGATTGCTTTAGCATAGGAATGTATTCACCCTCAGTGTCAATCCATTACTAGGCCGAACCTGGTTATGGGCATGAGATTTGTTTTTCAAGCTTCCCTAAGCCACAGTCACAAGACCCTTCCCTAAGGACAGCTGTAAAGGGATATCACACTGAGATTTCATATCAGCAGCAAAAAAAAAAAAAAAAGCTCAGGTAGATGTCAATCTTCAATGACAAGCAATTGAAAAGGTAATCCAAGATGACACAACTAATTAATATCAAAGACTAAATACATAAAACATTGCTTGCAGACCAGATTGCAGCAGAGTCACCACAAAGGGATTTCAATCACATGCCTCCTGTGCTTCTCCCACCCCATATCCCCAGGGGGTGGAAGATAACTCCAAACCAGCATGAAGGGTTTAACTTCCAAGCAGGCTCAATACTAAGCCCATAACATTCACAAGTTCCAGCATTTGGTTAAATTATTTCCCCTGATCCATGCAGATCCCACTTTTTCCCCACACATCTTACAGGGGCCTTCAGCCCCCAGTTAGGCAGGATGGGGAGGCCCCAGCTCAGGGCCATTAGGGGGTAGGGCTGCAGAATCTACACCTACCACTCAATTTAATTCTGCTCAGCTCATGGCACAGGTATTTTTAAAGGGTAAATTAATCCAAGTGTTGTTCACTTTGTGAGCCAGAACTTGAAATAAATATTGGTATTGCTTTTACTACCTTTGATCACTTGTTTTGGAAATAGCATCAGTTTTGATTTCTGAGCTGAAAGCTTACAACTGTTTCTAATATTCCATTTGATGTAAATGGTTCAATAGAAACAGAGTCAAAAACACTCTTTTCAGTTTTAAAGATTGCTTTAAAATGTTTAGTATAGTTGTACTTACAGCACCTTAAAATTCCAGTTAATAAGTAACTAAAAAAAATACATTATCAGAATTGATTTCTTCTCTCTGTGTGAATGAGTTCTCTAGTGTCTGCAATGGGAAATGATGATTATTAATATAATTTTCAACCATAATTATTGTTTTTAGACACACCCAGCTCCTAATTCTATCACCAAACTCTTTACATCAATAACATTTTAACAAAGTTCAAGTACAGAATCAAATGGAAAGTTTTAATAGCTTATCCATATGTATACTTGATATTCTTGGCTGCAGAAAGGGATAGCACTACAATATTAAAGAAAAATAGGTATAAATCTAGCTGTAAGAGCCACATAAACAAGTGCATCTATGTCAAGAATTCCTATGAGCCTTGCTTTTACTCAAAAACTGTATTTTCTATACAGAATATTTGCTTTTAAAATAATAGGGTTAAGCTGTTAGTCATTCTAACTATTCATATAGAAACATTAGTTGGAATACTTGTTATAAAACCTTTCAGGGTGACAAATGAAAGATAATAAACCCTTGATCAATATAACTTTTATTTATTCATCCAGGAACAGAGGATATCATAGGCAACAACGCCGCCTAGGAGAACAAGGATTTCACATAAACTGTTTTGGCAGAAACACGCATTTAAATAATCATCCAAATCACCACCTCACTATCTCTATCTTAAAAAAAAATAAAAATTAAAACTAAACAAACAAAAAATGGAGAAAAAGAAACATTAGATCTGAACAAACCAACAGCCCAGAATTTTTTTTAATTTAATGTGTATGCCAGCCACATCTGTCCCTGATTTTAGAAGTCATAATACTTAGCAGTGACAATGGCACCTTTCATTTGCAAACACATTATAAGCATGAACTGACTGCAATTATACCACAATACCTCACCACAGCTAATCACCAGGACTGCCTGGTCTGCCCTCAGCCTGGGGAAGTGCTGATTTCCGTTTGTGCCGCCAGGCCCTGTATGACAGTGTCTACACCCGGCAAAGTACTACCCTCAGAAGTGAATTTAGCATAAACTGACTGACCAAGCTACAGCACATCATCAAGCAGGTGTTTCCAGTCAGTGCTAATATTTTCTTTTATATTGCAAGAAGAACTGACCAGACCAGGACACAATTTAATGCAAACCATTTGGAGTGAAAGGTGTTATCTTGCCTAGTGAAATCTCCCCCTCACAGTCCAGCTCACAGGCAGAGTCAGTGGCAACCTCATGGTCAGGGGAGATCTGGGACATCCTATCAAAAGGGTCCCCGCGATGCTCCTCACAGTCAACCACATTTGGGATCATGTTAACATAAGCAGTCACTATCTCCTTATGGTAAAGGGTGTCCTGGTTGTAAGAGATAAGCTCATTGCTTATATTAACAGTCTCCACTGCAGTACCAGTGCAAAACTGACCACATCCCAGGAGGTTGGAGAAAACCTTTCTAAAGTCAGCATTGAAGGCATAGATGATGGGGTTAAGAGAAGAGTTAGCCCAACCAAACCAGACAAAGATATTAAAGGTGGTCTCACTGACGCAGGGCAGGCCGGCGTGGGGGTCGCTGGGTGGGCTCTCGCAGAAGGGAACCATGCAGTTCAGGATGAAGAATGGCAACCAGCAACACACAAAGACACCCATGATGACAGAGAGCGTCTTTAACACCTTGGTTTCTTTCCTGATGGAGGACTTGAGGCTTGTGTGATGGTGGCAGTCAACGTGGCTGCTCCGGCAGCTCTGTGCATGCTCGGCTGCCCTCTCCAAGGAAGAGATACGACGAATCTGCACCTGGGCAATGCGGTAGATTCGGGTGTAGGTGACTATCATGATAGCCACCGGGATATAAAAACTGATCAAGGAGGAGGAAATAGCATAAGTCCTGTTGAGGCTGGAGTCACAGCTCTCTGAAGGTCCAGTGAGGGTATCATTGCTGCCAGAGGTCCCATCAGAGGGTCTCACTGCCGCTAATGCCACCCATGTGGTACTCATATCTTCTGCCCAGGTGGTGACAGCACCTGCTGCTGCCCAGGCAGTGCCAAATCCATCTTCAATATCAGCAGCAGCAACAACATCCCCACCTTTGTGCCAGTTGAGCTGGACAGGGATGAAGGAGATGAGCACAGACAGCGCCCATGCCACGCTGATCATCACCAGAGCCAAGCGCTGGGTCATCTTCCTCTCGTAGCGGAAAGGGCTGGAGATAGCCCAGTACCTGTCCACGCTGATCACACACAGGTTCAGGATAGAGGCCGTGGAGCACATGATGTCAAAGGCCACCCAGACGTTGCAGAAAGCCCCAAAGGGCCAGTACCCAGCCACCTCTGCCACCGCCTTCCAGGGCATGACGAGCAGGGCCACCAGTAGGTCCGAGACAGCCAGGGACACGATGAAGATGTTGGTGACCTTGCTCCGCAGGTGCCGGTAGCGGACGATGGCCGCGCACACGAGCACGTTCCCGAAGAGAGTCCAGAGGATGAGCAGCGCCAGCAGGCTGCCCGCCGCCACCTGCGCGGCCCCGGGGGAACCCGCTGTGCCCCGCGCCTCGCCGGGGGGCTCCGTCGCCGGGGGCAGTGGGCTCCGGCCACCCCGCAGCATCGCTGGCGGCTCCCGCCGGCGGCGGGGCGGCTCCGGCCGGGATGCGCCGAGCAGCCAGCGCCGCCCCGCCGCCCGGCCCCATGGGGCCGCTGCCCCCCCGCCCCACCGCCACCCCCGCCGGACGGCCCCGCTCGGCCGCTCAGCGCGCTCCGGGCTCCGCGCCTCGCCACTACCGCGGCGCCAGCCCCGCCGGGGTCCCTCTCCCGGCTCCAGGGACCCCGCCTGGGGTCCCCGCCCCGCGGCTCAGTGCGAGTACCTCTCTCTGCTCGGGATCCCCGCCCCGCGGCTCAGTGCGGATCCCCCTGCTCGAGGTCTCCGCCCCGCGGCTCCTTCCAGGGGTTCCAGCTCCGCGGTTCAGCGCATCCTCCTGCGCGGGTCTCTGTCCCGCGGACCCGCTTTGGGTACCGCCTCGCGTCCTCTCGCTTGCGCTCCCGCTCCGCGGCTCAGCGCGCTCCTCTCTTGCCAGGCTCCGCGGCTCAGCGCGTACCCTGCCCGCGGCACACTCGGTTTCGCGCCCGCTCCTTCTGGGTTCGCTCCACGCCCCCGCGATTCCCGGTGCCTCCCGCCCGGGCTGGCCGCTCCGCTCGCCCCGTGCCCGCCCGGGCTCCCAGCGCGGCGGAGCGGCGCTCCCACCGGGGCTGCCCGCCCGATCCCCGCCGCCCGGGCCGGCCCGCCCGCCCCCGCAGCCCTGTGAGCATGCTCTGCCGCCAGGGACGCCCCGTCCGGGCACCGCGGCTGGCCGGGGACGGGACGGCACGGACCGGAACGGAAAGGAAAGGTGCAGCAGGGCCAGCAGCCATCCCCGCTCGTTCCCTCCCTCCGAGACCGAGTCACCCTGGCATCGCTCGGTGCCGTCACCGGCTCTGTGCGCGGCACAAGAGCAGAGCGCGGTCCCGCCGCAGGGAGCGGGGAAATGACCCCAGCATCCCCGGGGCAAGAGGGGCTGTCCAGGACGGGCACGGACACAGCTCGGCCGGCCTCTCGCCGGGAGCGAACGGGGCTGAAAGGTGCGGTGTGGGCAGCGGGACGGGCTGGGTGTCTTCTACAGGGATGGGAAATAGAGTGCGCCTCCGTACTTATTCCAGTGGCTTCTGCTGGATGGCTGAGATGTATTAGAGGCAGAAAGCCCGGCGAGAGAAAATCTGATTCTCTCTCTTTCCAGCTCCATGGGATGAATCACTCCTCTCGGTAGGGCTCCAGCACAACTAGAAACAGACTATGACCGTGAGCATTACAGGTGTTAATGCTCTTGGACTCACCGTGTGCTAATGTCATGCTTGAGTTTCTTCGGAGAACGTCTTAGTTATTTTTATTGGAAATACAATTGGTTTAGTTCCTCTAAAACTTAATTTCTTTTCAAAACAGTTGCCAGAGATCTAGCCCATTCTTGACTCAGCAGCCTGGGTTTTGGCACTGAAAGGGCTGAAGAACTGACACTCTCCAGAGGCCTTCCAGCTGCTTCTCCAGGCAGATTGGGAAAGACAAGAATCACTACACCTTGCTGGATCTGCAGTGACATGAAGGAAGATTAAATGCTAGAGTTACTAAATACAGAGGGAAAAGGAAAAAACTAAATCTAATTCTGAAACCTTTTAGGTAATTTTATAAAATTGTCACAAGAAAAGTGAAGCTTCACTTTAGCTCTCGCTTAAGAAATTGGCGCTACTTTTCTACATTTAAGCAGAGTTATATTTAATATCGGAGGAAGAATTTAGCTTTTGTCACCACTGAATTCTAAACAGTGTGACTAAAGCTCTGGTGCTGAGGCAATGTGTTGCTTGCACAAACTCTGCTTTCCTAAGCAATGCCTCCTACAATTTCTCTAAACGAAGAAGCAGATTGCACAAGTATTTGTGCACATGCCCATTGGAGCTGCTTGTCATGGGGATATTTTTTCATGTAGTTAATGGGGACATTTTATTCCAAAAATCAATGATCCAGTTTGCTTGTTTAGCTTATATTCATTGCTTCAGCAATGTAGAGGTGTGTGCATTTGCTTGTAATGTGGTGTCTGTGTATTTACACGTGTGTTTACACATGTGCTGCCAGTAAGCATGAGCTATTTAAATAAACACAGTGTAGGTATCTGTCTCAATAGCAAAAGTAGCCCAATAAAACATAGCCTGCTCACAACTCAGCAGCCCCTTGCCCACACTGGTAACTTGGTACAAATCAGAGGTGCAGGTGTGTGTTATCTCCTGCCAGCTCTGCTGGCTGTGCTGGAGTCAGGCACAGAGGAGGTGCAAGCAGATGGGAAAGATGCCTTAACTCATTGAAACAAAAATTATAACAGCACACTTGTCAGATGTCTAAAGAATAAAGTTTTTATATGCTTTGTTCTTTACTGTCTGCAATAGGTGGACCCAAAGTGGAAGACCTTCCAAAATATCCCATTTTTTGGCCAAGAGTTGTATTTGGCTGTCTGAATCCTGCAACACAGAATTTAGAAGATGTAATATCCTTTCCCACCTATTTAATCTTTAGCTATCATTCTTGGTTTCCAGCTGGTGTGAACTGATGTTGTTCCCCAAAGCTCCCTGTGGATAAAGATCCAGCTTTGAGCTGGGGGAAGATTTGTCGCCCAAAGGTGCAGCTGTCAAAGGGTGCATCAGTGGCAGGGTCTCCAATGCTGATCCATTTCATGAATGCATATTCAAAACTTTCTTTTAGGGCAAAGGAATGCATTAGGAGATCAAGAATATTTTCAGTGGTAGTAGAAAGGAATCCTAGTTTGTGATGGGGTGGCATGTGAGACTAAGACCCCCATGCTGACAGACTCAGTGAGTTGGGAAGAAGTGGTGCAGGAAGGAGCAACAGGACAACTGCTTTGTGATTATATGGGATCATTCATAATGGCATCAGGTCAGAGAAACAATCATTTAATGGGGACATTTATGGTTTGTTATAACATTCCATCCACTGCCATCAAAATTTTTTAAGCCTGAGATAAAAACCTTTTGCATTTATAGGTTATTAGCATCCTTTTTTAACTTTCTGTAGGCAGTTTGCATATAAATCTCATTTTAAGAATAGTCCATTAAACCCACAGCTGTCACTTGCTGAGAGATCTGGGGTGGGGTTTTTTTTCATCCTGAAATCATCTTTTTAATGTCTTTTGTGCTTTTCCTTCAGAGCTTTGCCTCATTTTTCTTTTTTTTTATTCACCTGTTAAAATTGCAGTTCTCTCTCACAGCTGGCAGATTGGAAGTAATGGAATTTAACTGCTATTGCAATGATTCGGAGCAAAAAAATTTTTTTTTTCAGTTCCTGATTTTAGAAATGTATGTTTTACTAGCTCTTTCCCTTCATTGCCACATTTTCTATCTCCACTTCAAAATACAAATACCCATTGTTCTGCCTAATAATATTTATTTAAAAATCATCAACATGCATAAATTCACACATTCTCTCATTTGAGGGACACTTGGTGTAAAGAGATAGGAAAATAATTAATGCTGAAAGGAAATTAAAACACAGAGACACAGGTGTACCGCTGAGGTTTAGGCTGTAAAAGCATCCCATCAGAAACCTCCCATTACTTCTCTCTAAACCAGAGAAGAAGAGGGAGTGGTAGAGGCTTAAATATAGAAGGATGCTCAAGTGGAGCTGTATTTAGGAGCATGGCTGAACCCAGGCTTAAGGTCAGTCACTTCTACTCACTGACACTGATGCTTTTTTTTATTGCACAGGTGCAGGTGTATATACAGCCATGTGAGGGTACTGAGGAAGGAGGGAGATAACTGGTATCACCACTTCATGGAGTACAGAAAAATCCGTGCAGACTGGGTTGGGTTCTGCTGTTCATGTTTCAAACAAAAATAAACATGAGCAATTGGAAAATGATCAGAAATGCATTACAGGAATTATGTCTGGGAAACTTCCTCAGTTGAGGAGAGGGCAACAGGAGGGTTAGAACCAGCTGGTGATATCTGACAAGGGGAAAACTTTTCTATAACAGATGGCTTTTAATATTTTAGGCAAAATTAGAAAAATTTCAGAGGCTGAAAACTGAATCTATGAGAAATCAGGGTAGAGGTGGGGTATTCATTTTTAACAGTAAGGATTATTAATGGCTGAAGCAATTGGTTTTGGATTGTAATAGATTTGCCATCATTTGCAATCTGAAAGCCAAGGCTGAATGCATTTCTCAGAGGCTGTGCCCCAGCTCATCCCTCAGCTCTGTCTTCATTCCAGGGGTACCAAAGAGTGCTCTGTAGCCCATGTTGTGGGAAAGGTAATTTTGAATGGCTACAGTTACCCCCACTGGCCTTAAATCCTGTTTAGGTTTTTGTTGACATGATTAGCAATATGTAACAGGATCTGTAATGAGTGTGACATGGTTCCTACATCAGCCATGGATCATTCAGGGAAATCATGAAAAAACTGATGCCAACAGAAGACATTTCCACGGTTTTATTTTTTTTTAAATTCATACCAAGCTTGACTTCATTTAAACCTATGGTTAGAGATAAAAGATGGATGCAAGCCAAGGCCAAGATCAAAGGGAACAGCATGTTTGTAAATATGATTCCTACTGTATTGTCTTTGTTAATTTTGGGGCCTTTGTCTTATAAAAGATTATCTTTTCTTTTTAGTTATTTATAAACATGAATTTAAAATAGTGTCATTTTTTTCTAATAAAGCAAGAGCTCACATGATTAAAAACTGCTAAAGATCAGTAACATTTGAAAGAAGAAAAATAAAAAGAGGAAAACCCCTGTTTTTTACAATTTGGGAATTTTATTTGTATTCTCTGTGTGTGCATGGCCATATCCAAGGGGAAGAGCTGTCCTGAGAAAATAATCAAGATGAAAAAGGTGATTTTAACTTTCTAATGCTGAACACTTCAAGATTTTTATTTTATCTTTTGCCAACTGTACTATCAAACTGCAAATAAAAATCAGGTGGGCTTAATTCCCCAAGAAGCTGCTGTAATTCTGTATCTGACTTCAACAGTGTAACAATATGCCCTGTGGAGTAATTTGAATACAAATTTCAGTGTTCTGATTTCTCTGTTCCTCTAACCTACCATACATTAGGAGAATCTATGAATTTTATATTGAACATGTAAAATATAGGCTTTTTTAGTTAAATAATTTTTATTGGAACTTTTACCAACAGCATCATTTATCTTAGGATTTTACCCTGTCCATTAACATAGCATGGGATTATCTTTCACAAAATGGGTAGGAAAACCAAATCCCTCATGGAACCAAACAGTAATTTCAGCAATGAAATCAGACACTATTGTGAAGACTGTTAACATGATAAAAAAGATGGGGCTCAGCAAACAGAAGTCAGCAGCTGGGTGTCTGCCTCTCAAGGAACACAGATGATGTCTCATAGGGTCAGACAGTGACTCATCCTTGGGCTCCCCTCCTCCCAGATGGCAGCTGCTGCATGGAAGGGAATGGGGCTGGGAAGCAGGACAGGGAATGGGGCTGGGAATGGGGCTGGGAATGGGGCTGGGAAGCTGGACACCCAAACCTCATCTGTTTCACCGGCAATGTGGGACAGCTGTATCCTTGCAGAAGACCCTGTTGCAAATGCTACACAGAAAACTGCAAAGCCAGGTAATTTTACAAATGTGCCAACAGTTAGAGCTGACAGGGTTTTTAATCTGTACATTTTAGAGTTGTGGAAGACCAGCATTAGATTTTGTAGTTCAGGATTTATTTGGAGAAAGAATTCCAGCTTCAAATTTTTAAACATTAGTGGTAAGGATGAGCAACTTTGAGATAAACAGCAATAAACTGCAACTTTTACTTATTTCTGCATTTCCCCCCCTTAAGCAGTACTTGAAATAACATGCTCATTTAGAATCCTTCTGGTTTCTTCTCCAACACATGTAATGAGGGTCAAAGGAGTTTCAAGTGCAGAGAGTGTAAACCATCCCTGTAATGCCTTTAGGACCTCC